CAGAGGGAAAGGGAGAAGCAGGTTCCCCGTGGAGCAGGCAGCCGGACGTGGGGCTCGATCCCAGGACCCTGAGATCATGATCTGAACCGAAGGCAGATGCTCAGTGACTGAGCCACCCAGGCACCCCCAACCAAGTGCTTTTTGAAAAATTAGAAGATTATCACAAAACCTGACCAGCTCCACCAGGGAGAACATTCCAGCATGCTGGTGGCACACAAATGCACACACACGCTGTCACACACTCACACAGCCCCCAGCTGCTGGGGTGTGTGGCTGCTGACGGCCACCCAACTCCCTCAGTGCCACCCTGGCCCCCAGGGGTCAGATGTGGAGTCTGGTAGCTGCAGAAATTGGGCTTCTAGGGCAGCAGGCTGGAGCCTGATTTCCTTGTTTCCCGAGTCTATCTTTGACGACGTGCTGGTTGTTTTATCATCTGGAGGAATAATTCGGGATGAAGGTAATTTCCTCCACAGAGCCTTGGGGGCATGGCCAGCGCTGAGCTACTCAAAGTCGAGGGTTGGGATACCCTGGGTTGCCCAGGTCAACAGAACCAGGCCATAATCCCAGCAGGCTGGTCCCTTCTGGTTTACCCTTAACCTGGCTTATTGGGGGGAAATGGGTCTCCCGTTAGACTTCCCACTAGGGGCTATGGTGGGGACATATTCCTCCCAAGCGGCCTTCAGGAGGAGAGCGCAGCCCTCCACTAGTGGGCAGAGGTCCTCAGGAAGAAAGCATCTTCTCCCTGATCGCGGTGCCCTACAGAGTGATGCTGTCCTATCTTTTCGGTTACAGAGGCTCCTCTCAGCATTTTATGCAGTTTTTCCAGTTTCAGCAGGAGGGATACCAGAGAGAGTTCTGCTATTATCAGTGTCCTGTTGTTTTCATTTGCATTCCTCTGATGAGTGGTGAATCCCAGGCTGGCTGGCAATGGTTCCAATTTCCTCTCCAGCCAAGTGCCCGTTCATCCCCTGTGCCCTCTTTTCTCGCGCTCTCCCGCCTTTCCCTTGTTGATGTGAAGGTGCTCCTAGAACACTCTGGATGTTAATTCTATGTTAATTGCATATAACATCTTTACCCCGCTGTGTTATCCAGCCAGTCAGTCCCTTTCCAGCGGCCTTAGCTGAACAGAGATCCTTGATTTTGAGGCGGGCAAATTCAACATACTCACCTCTGGAAGGCTTACAGTGTGTCACTGTGACCCTTCATCATTCAGAGCCAGGTTTCCCAGCGTCATTTGACCTGCGTGAAGCAGAGGGGCACCGACCTCCCTCTATTGTTCACTAAGCTCATATTTGCACAGGCTAAGTCTGCAGCGTTGGCGACCTTGCCACATCGCTGCCTCATTTGTTAGTTTCCAATAAAAACCACAGGTCCCTGTTGTGCGTTGCTGTGAGGCCCCCGCCCCCCTCCTCCCCGGCTCGCCAAGCTAAGTCTGAGACCTATGGGCAGAGCACAGATCGCTATGATTTTTCATCTTGAGTCAGCCCACCATTCCAGGCTGCCAAGTTATTTTTGGACCCCGATTCTGTCATCCAGTGCTCTGGCTGTCCCAGTTTTTTGGGGCCACCTGAAACTTTGGTAAATATGTCATCCATGCCTCCACCTGCGTCACCGGTGAGAAGGTGGGCCGCGAGAGGATGAAGGCCTGAACATGTGCCCGGAGTCTTCTTTCAGGCAGATATCGATCAGTTAATGATAACATTCCCCGAGAGTTCTTGAGGAGCAACTAAATGCCGGAGCCTAGGGGAGGTGCTGGGGACCCCAGGTGGCCGGGGAAACAAGTCCTCCGCCCTCTCGGGGTTCACACTGCCTCCAAGGAGGCAGAGACAATTCAGTCTACAAATGGTAACTTCCATGTGTTCTGTGCTTCTGTTTTTACAAAGAACTCCCTCACGGATTGTCTCTTTGGAGCCCTCTCTGGGACAGGCAGTCAGGCGGGAAATGAGTGTACTCAGCCACACACTATCCTAAGGTTCCCTGCCGGCTTTCAGGAAATCAGCCAGGTGCTTTGCTGAAATTCCTGCACGCTGCGTCTACACTGCAGGTCAAGCACTGAAAGAGGACACAGGTCTGGCGTGAAGGTTGCCTCACCAATGCACGCCGTACCCCTTTATACCTATTTACTCGTTTTTTGTTCACAGTTCACTGCCAGTCTCATTCGCGACACTCCCTGCAACGTCTGTGAGGCCCGTTCTCATGAGGTGCTGGGGTGTCATTCAGCAGGACCAGAAGATTCCAGAGGATCTTAGAATCTGCTCTGTTTATCCAGGGAGGTATTTACCCTCCAGCCCAGCAATTCAGGGGGGCGCTGGTAGAGCCCTCTTCTTCTGGGTCCAGTGCACCTCCTCCACTGGTGGGAGCAGAGGCAGGGGTCGGGGCCGCGGGGTTCTTTGGGGGTCCTGTCCCATTAATGGAGGAGGAAATGCATTTACCAGGTCATGACTAGCATTTCCTTTTAAATAAACAACGAGTAGACGGTATCAGAGGGCGCTGTAGGTGGTGAGGGTACCCGCTGTTTCATGAAATTCTCCTTTCAGTTACATAGTAAATGTGCGTGTGCCGGGTTCTTATGAAGATCCATTTCGTGCTGTGAGTCTTCGTGGAAAAGGTTCCAAAGCTATGGGCACAGTGATTAAATCCATCCTCTGGAGTCCGCTAGAACTGGATTCAACTCTGCGACTTTGGAGCCAGTTCCCCAACCTAAGAGGATTTCATCGATAACACAAGATTGTGGAACCTGTCTCCTCGGGCTTTTATGAGGATTAAATGACATAATAAGGGGAGATCACTTGGTTCAGCACCTGCACTGTAACGTGCTCCGAAGATGGGGCGGTTTTCTCACTTTGGAGCTATGCACACATGGCCTGGTTTCCTTCTCTTCCCCAGCGCTGTTAATTTCACTTCCTACTTTCTATTTTCAGCAGTTTGGAGAAGCAAGTCTGTGGCTTTCTAGCAATCCTGGATTTTATGGATATTATCTCTCACATCTCGGAGGGTTTCAAGGCTCATAAACCCGCTTCTCCCGAGGCTCGCGGCTTGATGCCTGTGTTGCCTGCGGGTTTGGGGGCGGCTCTGCACCCCCCACCTCCGTCAGAGGCCAGGAGGTATTTTAAAACCAGGCTTTCTCCTTTCTTTTCCTCTGAGGAATGGAAACCTTTTCCTGCCTGCCCTCCCAGAGCTGTAAGCCCATTCCCTGGGCCGGACTTCTTTTCCGGCATCCCTGCACCCCTGCTTCTTGATCAGGGGGAAGGGGTGAGCTCAGTACCCACCCTGGGCACCCCAGGCACTCTCACTTTTCCTGACCCGGGGCGCTGGAGCCAGCTGCCCACCCCCTCCCTGAGCCAGGGTCCAAGAGCGGGATGGGCAGACTGCCAAGCCCAGCTCCCCCCAGGACCAGGCACTGGGTTGATGGCCACAGGAAAGCCCTGCGGTCCTTCCATTCCTTTGCACCCAGGGCTGGAGGTACCAAGAGGACTAAGGAATGCTCTCTGCGCTCAGAGGCTCAGGTCTTTAATGCCACCGGTCAAAAAGCCTTGTATCAAGCAGTGGGTGCAGGCGGCCCGGGCACCTGTAAGAAGTTCCCCCAGAAGGGCACCTCCTAACAGGGGACATTGCCTTTCTTAACAATAAAATTTGAATTCAAAGATGTCACAGTTTATAACACAACAGAATCAGGGTCAAAGACATTTGAAAGACCAAGCAGTTTGCGTTTGAAAAAGCATTTCGGGGATTTTCCTCCTTCATTGTCTATCCAGCAGGAACCGTCCTGGTTTTTCTTTTCAGATTACACATTGAGGGCCAGGTATCAGGAGCGGAGCAGGAAGCCAGTGTATCCCTTCTGGGCCGCGTGAATCCCGGGTCATGAAGTCCACTCCACTCCTGGAGACAGGTCCACAAGTGACTGTGGGACACTCCCCCCTGTTCACAGCTTGCAAATAAACATCATTTGGAAAACACTTTGCCATTAGGACACCAGTGGACAACAAAATGGATACTTCTTAAATATTCCAAGATCATACACCCTTTCAGGCAATCTCATTAAAACTAGGCTTTAAAAAAAACTCCATGGGTGCCTGGGTGGCTCAGTCAGTTAAGCATCAGCCTTCAACTTGAGTCATGATCCCAGGATCCCGGGATCGAGCCCCACATCGGACTCCCTGCTCAGCAGGGGAGGCTGCTTCTCCCTCTACCTCTGAATGCTGCTCCCCCTGCTTGTGCTCTCTCTCTCTCTGTGTCAAATAAATAAAAATCTTATAAAAATAATAAAATAATTTTTTAAAAAGTTAAATAAATAACGCCAATTTGATTGGATTAGAAACTACTTTTCTACAACTCTTCTTTAGCCAAAAATGTTATAAATTGTTTTTACTCTGTGTTTTATACACCATGTGGACCTAGTGTGTCAAAATTAAATTTTTTTTAAATTTTTTTCAAGATTTTATTTATTTATTTGTCAGAGAGAGAGAGAGAGTGCACAAGTAGGCAGAGTGGCAGGCAGAGGTGGAGAGAGAGGCAGGCTCCCTGCCGAGCAAGAAGCCCAATGTGAGACTCGATCCCAGGACCCTGGGATCATGACCTGAGCCGAAGGCAGCAGCTTAACCGACTGAGCCACCCAGGCATCCCACAAAATTAAATTTTAAGAGACATGGATATATAGAGAGATCAGCTGAGCCAAATCCTCATCCTGAAAACATTACTTACAAAAGATACTAGTCACTTGTGGTTAGTAAACCATCGAACATGTCTGGTTCAGTATTTTAATTTCTCATTCTGATGACAATACATTAGAGGCCCTTGACATAGAAAGCAAACTTGTCCAGTAATTCCAGCTCCAACGTCAAACCTCAGAGGCAGGTGTGAGTCTGGCCCACTTTCTTGTAGAGAGTAGAATGATGCTTGTGTGTGAACATCCCCAAGAGCCTAGGCAGAAGTAGAAGTGTTTGGGGTGCCTGGGTGGCTCAGTCAGTTAAGTGTCCGATTCTTGATTTCAGATCAGGTTGTGATCTCGGGGTTGTGAGATCAAGCCCCAAGTCGGGCTCCACTGTCAGTGTGGTGTCAACTTAAGACTCTCTCTCCCTCTCGAATAAAATAAATAAATCTTAAAAAAAAAAAGAAGAAGAAAGAAAGAAATGTTTGCTTCCATCAGATGGTCAGATGGTTTGAAGACTTCGGCCTGAGGGACAATGCAAAGGGTGGAGGGCCTTGGGCTGGGGTTGGGGTAACACACTGCGCCGCCTAGGGCTGGCTGAGTGGGGGCGGGGCAGTGAGCAACTGGGGGCGGGTGGCTCAAAGGGAACACCTCAGTCTGAGAATAAGGACACATATACCCTCTTCCTCCCGGTGCTAACCCTCCAGGGAGAAACTTCATCTCACCATCACCGTCTGTCTACACATCGAAACATGGTCTATTCTGGCCAAGGCCTCCACCTAGGATCTTCTGTTTAGTTCTCTTTAGTTCTCTTTTGTTCAAGGCTGAGATGACCTCAGCTCACACAATTCCCGAAAGTACCCCACTGTTGGTGTCCCTGTTTAAGGTTTCCCTAGGCATGGGATGCCTGGGTAGCTCAGTTGGTTAAGCCACTGCCTTGGGCTCAGGTCATGATCCCAGTGTCCTCCGATTGAGTCCACATGGAGCTCCTTGCTCGGCGGGGAGCCTGCTTCTCCTTCTGTCCGTTCTGCCTGCCACTCCCCCTGCTTGTGCTCTCTCTCTCTCTCTCTTTGACAAATAAATAAAATCTTTGGCGGGGGGAGATTTCCTAGGCAAAACGTTTGGCTAGGATGAGCTATACTGGCGAAGATCTGAATATGGAACTGATGACAAGCCCAGCTCCTCCCGTGGGTGCCCCCGCATTCAAGAAGAACGAAGACTACCTCTTCTCCTGCAAGCTTGGGATGTGGGTTTAGCAATGTGAGGACAGTTGTCTCGTGGTTGTGCAGAGGTGTGGAGAGTTGCCCCATGACTGCAGGTAAGCAGCTTCTGCCCACCAACCCCCCGCCACTGCCCCGCCGTCAGGCCTTCTAGAGGTGCTCAGGGAAGCAGGGCCATTATGAGTTTCATGTCTTTTACCGCCTGCCCCGGGGGGCCTTGGCAACGCTATTCCTCACCGCCTCTCCCCCCCCACCCAAGCTCATGAGGCCTCTAAAGACCCTGATACAATGTGCCCACTGCAGGATGATTCCAGAAAGGCCATGGCTTGTGGCAGGGGGTGGGGGGTGTGCTACATCCAACACAGAGGGTGGATATCAGAGGACCCCAGCTTTCATCAGGCCAGCATGACTCAGTCTTACCCTCCAGCTTGAGACTCGCTTGCTGGCCGCGCTGCCTCTGCCCCTGATCTCTCCAGAACTGGCTCCCTTCATCACGGGCTTTGTTACCATCAGTTCACCTGCAAAACCCAGAGCGGACTGGATGGAGCCCCAGCAAGAGTGACGGCCATATCCTGGAACCCTGGAACCTATGAGTGTGAATAGATTTGGGAAAAGGGTGTTTGCCAATGTAATTAAGAATCTTGAGACCAGATCATCCTGGATTACGAGACAAGCCCTAAATCCAAAGACAAGTGTCCTAGGAGCCACAGGAGCGACACGGATGGGACAGCGGGCCTTGAGAAGACACAGGAGGAGAATGGAGTTCCATGGCCACAAACCAGGGAGCGTCGGGAGCCCCCGGAGCTGGCAGAGGCAAAGGAGCATCCCCCAGGGCCCGCAGAGGGAGCCCGGCCCCGCCCGTACCTTGATTTTGGACCTCTGGCCTCCAGAACCCTGAGAATTCCTATTGTTCTAAGCTGCTGGCCCGGTGCTGGGTACTGGGGGAGCCCCAGGGAGCTCAGACAGGGTCCTCAGCAGAGCCAGCGACCCTGCCCAGTACTGTCCCTGCCCAGTCCTACCCCCGCCCGCTGGGCAGCAGTACTCAGAGGTGACCGTCCCTCCTCAGACACTTCCTTCCCTGCATTCCTGGCCCCAGGAACGTCTTCCTACTTCACAGGCCGCTTTCACAATCTTTCAGACTGAGTGCCCCACTTCTCCCTACTGCTAAATGTTGGAGGCCCCCAGCACGACCCTCGTGAGTCCCCTTGGTGAAATCATTCCGTCCCACAGCTCTAAGCACTGTCCGCACACTGACACTCTTGACTTCCCTCTGTAGGAATCTGGTGCCGCAGGGGCTCAAACACTGTTTGGAGGAAGAGTAACATCTTTTCACACAGATCAACATTCTAAATGCGTTCACCAGAGCGGGGCACCTGGCTGGCTCCGTCAGTGGAGCGTGTGTGCGACTCTTGATCTTGGGATCGTGAGTTCGAGACCCACATTCAGCGCAGAAATTACTTCAACGTGTGTGTGTGTGTGTGTGTGTGTGTCTGTGTGTTTACCATATTCACTTTGGAAGCACTCTTGGATATATGCTCTTGTTCTTCTCATAAAAGCCCTGTGACTTCTGAGTGACTGCGTGCTGGTCCTTCGGCTATTTTATGGCAAAACCCAGGTTTCTGGATCTTTCATGCCTCTCCCACCGCCCCTCTCACGAGACTGGAGCACCGCCCCCCTCCCCCCCCAGAAGGTTCCGCTCCAGTGACCCTGCTGTTCCAAGACTGCTCGGCATTAGAAATCCCGTCTAGTGACTCCACCCTCTGATTATCAAGGCTTCTCGAGAGGCTCTCTCTCTGGAACAGGGGCTGGCAAAGTAGGATCTGTGGGCCAAATTGGGTCAGTTCTCCGTTTTCGTAAAGCAAATCATGCTGGAAAGCAGCTACCCGCATTGGCATACAGACTTGCGGTTGCTTCTCTGCTCCAACAGTAGAGCTGAGTTGCGACCACAGAGGCTGGACAGACCCCAAGCTGAACATTTTTACTCTCCAGCTTTACAGAAACAGCTTAGTGACCCGTGCTCAGAAATTAGCCACAGGGAAGGCTTCCCCTTCCTTGCTGGGTTTGCACCATTGGTCTCCTGCATCCATTCCGGTAGAGAGGAAGGGGTGATCTTTTCCTGCTTTCCCACTGGTCACACTCCCGGGCTTGGAAACGGTTATGAAACCTACTATGTGAATGACAGTCTCCATGGTTGCTAAACACCGTTGGGCCCTCCTCCCTCCCCGTCAATGCCTCTCCCTGAATGGGGTCTCTGATGACCAGTAAGGTTGGGATTTCTCCTAACGGCCTTCCCACATCTGCAACACTCCCAGGTTTCTGTCCTGTGTGGACTCTTCGATGGGCCCTTCCATTGGGCTTGGCTGAAGGCTTTTCCAGGCCTCTCGCACTCGTAAGACTTCTCTGGAACAGGAAGAGTCTGATGGGTGAAGACACAGGGCTGCTCCCTGAACACCGTCCCCGACTCGCCACAGGTAAAAGGCTTTCCTCCAGAGGCTACTCAGAGGAACCCAGTGTTGGGAGCGTTGGCATTTGTGGGGCTTCTCTACAGGGTGAACTCTGTGGGGCACAGTAGTGAACATAATACAGAAAAGCCCTCCACTCTTGTTGCACACAGATGGCCCAGCTGGGGTGTGAACGCTCTGGTGTGTGATGAGGTGGGGACCGCTCTCTCTGTGGCCTCTATGGCTTTTTCTCCAGCGTGGGCTGTGTGGTCAGCCTCCTGAGAAGAGGCCCCTCCACATACCTTACAGATACACCATACTTCTTCCCATCAGGAAGAAAAGGAGAAAGGGCCTCGTTGTCTTGGAAAGTTCTTCTATATCGATTACATTCACAGAGCTTTGTCGATTATGAAGGACCAATGAGTAGCCTGAGCAACTAACTTCTAGAGCTTTCTCTCCACCCTCAGTGCTCAGGACACTTCTTCCCTGTGTCGGAAGCTGGGAGCTGGAGCTAAAGGTTTTGCCATGTTGCTCCCATTCACAGGCCTTCTGTCTGCGGCCGGTGGTCGGAGCCCTGGACACACACCTTCCCACACTCGCTGCAGGTGTGGCGCTCGCTGGTGTGAGTACACGGATCCACCAGAATGTGTATGTTTCTCGGGGCTTCTTCATGCTCCTTCCCTCCATCAGACTGTTCTCAAGGGCAATTTCTCTGGGCCATGGGAACGGGAGAGCGCAAACCTCTCTCCAGAAGATTTTCCGCTCAGCAGTAAGTCGTGACTTCCCAGTGGACCTCTTCCCGCACTTGCCATACTTGAAGGATCTTTTCTCCTAAGACTTCTTGTGGTTTCTCGGGACTCAGGGGATTCAACAAAATTAGACCTCTGGGTCCCAGCCTCTGGGAGTTTTCCCCACGCCTTCCCTCCCCACTTAGCATCCTTGGAAATGCCCTGCTTCCCAGCTGACTCTACCTTCCCAGCTCCGCTTTCTTCAAGGCCTGACAAAGAAAAACACCTGCATGCCATGACCAGAGGAAAGCCACGGGTAGCCCCTGTGCACCAAAACCAACCTGAGAACAGAACCAGTGAAGAGAGAATGCTGGGGTGCGGCCCTCATCCTCCCATGCCTCCGTGGGAAGGGAGGGAAGGGGGCTTGGACCAGGCCAAGAGGCAGCAGATGGAGAAGGCCGGAGAAGGCCGAGTGTGCTGGTAACACACAGAGAGTGGGAGGGAGAAACGAAGGGCCGGGCAAAACACATAGGGGGTGAACAGGAAGTCAGCTGATGTGTGGAGACGAAGTGAGTCCCCAGAAGGAAAGGGGTAAGACGACACAGCAGCAGGTACAGGGGAATGGCTGCTGGCGAATTTCCTTGGGGTCTTCACTGCCCGCAGACAGACCAGGCAGAGGCAGGGGCATCAGCCGATGTCCTCTGGGTGCTGATGGCTAACCCAGGGGAGAGGAAAGGCGCACTAGGGTATTCCTGTAGAAGTTTCTATACGATTTCCCCCTAGTGGCTGAGAGAACAAGAGAAAACGAGGACTCATCTGAATCAGCGTTCTGCCCTTGGTGCGTCAATGTTTCTGAAGGCACACAGGCAGGAGCTGCCTCAGGAGGGACGCTGGTGGACTCCCCTCACTCACCAGTGTGAGCGAAGCCCTCCATCCGCAGCGGCCGGCAGATCTGGTAGCTATCATGCTCCCCCTTGTTCCAGGATGATGATCAAATTAGGCTGGGGAAAATAAAACTCTATTCATAGCACTGGAAACAGGAAAAGGGAGATAATGGACCCAAAGCAGCCACAGTCTCTCTGCCAACATGAAACAGACACGGCTGGGGATGCTAACAGGCTGGGCTGCTCTCTAAGGGGACAGCCATCTCGGGCCGGAAGTTGAATTCCCATGGTCAAGTTCTTCGATACAAAGACAGGTCACCTGGGGGCTGGAGAGGGTAGACTCAGATCCCAGGAAATGTGCCCATTTCCAGCAAGGGAAGTATCAGAACCCAACTATGGGAAGCAGGGGGACCAGGCAGCTAACAAGGATTCAAAATCTTAAAACCAAGTCAGGTCACGTTCCCAAAATTCTCCACCATGTCTTTTTTTTTTTTTTTTTTAAGATTTTATTTATTTATTTGTCATAGAGAGAGAGCACAAGCAGGGGGAGCAGCAGACAGAGGGAGAGGCAAGCAGAGGGAGAAGCAGGCGCCCCGTGGAGCAGGGAACCTGATGTGGGACTCAATCCCAGGGCCCTGGGATCATGACCTGAGCCAGAGGCAGACGCTTAACTGACTGAGCCATCCAGATGTCCCTCTCCGTCATGTCTTTTTTTTTTTTTTTAAGATTTTATTTATTTATTTGACAGACAGAGATCACAAGCAGAGAGAGGAGGAAGCAGGCTCCCTGCTGAGCAGAGAGCCTGATGCGGGGCTCGATCCCAGGACCCTGGGATCATGACCTGAGCTGAAGGCAGAGGCTTTACCCCACTGAGCCCACTGAGCCACCCAAGTGCCCCTCTCTCCGTCATGTCTTAATGGAGATTCCTCTCGGAAGGGTTAGGCAATGCTAGTCCCTGTGAGTGACGAGTATGCCCGGGGCCTCGCACATCCTCAGAGGTCACCCAATCCCCAAACACAGGATCTGCTGCCACTAAAAGAATAACCCCTGAGGAATTTTTCAGCACGGTGAAGGGGTGGTTCTGAGTCTGTGTTTATACCTGAGGAGCAAGGACAGCTATGGAACAAGACAAGAGTCTTCCAGCAGGGAAAGGGATGGTTAGGGCTGCTGTGGTCAAGCAAATGCAGTGGCAATGAAGGTGCAAGGGAAAACTGTATTTCCCTCCCCTGCTCTCAGTACTTTTGGTCACCAAATATGTGTGTGTTCGGGGGGTGCCCCTACACCAAACAGTTCTGCAACACCAGCTGGGTGTCCTGCAATGTTTTTAAAAGATTTTATTTCTTTCTTTGAGGGAGAGAAAGCATGAGTGCATGTGCGCAAGTAGGGGGAGAGGCAAAGGGAGAGGGAAAAGGAGACGCGGACCCCCCACTGAACAGGGAGCCCGATGTGATGTGGGGGCTCAATCCCAGGTCCCTGAGATCATGACCTGAGCCGAAGGCAGATGCTTGACTGACTGAGCCACCCAGGCACCCTA